TACATAAATATTAATACATGCTTTTCATTATAAATATAGAATTTAACCCAGTAAAATTAATTAGAAGTATTATTTTATGACTTTAAAAACTATATTAGCATATACATATAATAGTTTATCATCTTTTAATAAATTATATAAATAGAATAATTTATATTATTACTTAAAATCGATTGTAATTTATATTAAAATTTACAAGTAATATTAACATTTTTAATTTTAAAAATACTTTAAGATGAAAAATGTTTGAATAATAATAATTCAGATTTAAAACTAAATGAATATTAATGCCACCCAATGATTATTATAAGTTTAAACAATAAAGTATTTCCATCTAATTATCTGATAACAGGTAATATGAGAAAATGCTAATAAACCTGTGTAGATAGTTCTTGATATATAATTAAATAATAGAATAGTTTTGTTCCTGCTAAGAGATAACTGCTTTTTTTCATAACATAAGGTTACAGTAACTGAGAGATTCAACTATAGCCTGTAATAACACCATTATCAAATCTTACCCTAGATCTTTATATTTCTGCTTTTGTATGCAAAATAGCTGCAAAATTCTTCCTATTTTAGATTATAATTCAAAGGTTATTCAATTCAAAGCAGCTGCATACATAAAGATTAGCATTAAATTTGGTCCAGATATCATAAATTATTTAAAAAAATATTTAAATAATAATAATAATAATGCTATTGTCAAAAGGAAGTCAAAGAAAAACATTTTCAGTTTATCCAAATAAACAAAAATTATTTCTGAAAGATTTCTATCTTTTACATCCTTAATAAAATTTTTTTTAATGTATTTTATGTTATAAAGTGACAAATACAAGAAAATCAATCTAAAATAAATGAAAATATTAATTTTATATCATATAAAAATTATTAATTTACTTTTACAATGACATTTTATAATTCTTAACTGATGTACCACTAAAAAAAAACCCTAAACCCTGATTTATTAAAGCTTACAAATTCATTAAGATAAAATCCTTGAATAAGTAAAAGTATATATTATACTTTAATAAAATATGAACAACTGTTTAAAAAGTTTCAATTTTTTGTTAATAATTGATTTAAATTTCGAAGATTTAATATTTTTAAAAGTTTTTTTATGTATATACCTAAATAAAATAAAAAATCCATATTTTATTTTCAAAAAATATTAAAAATGAAGTTATTATATTAAAGTAACTAAAATAAATAAATATTAAACCCTCAATCTCTACTGAATGCACTAAAATATAACAATAAAATGTCAAATACATGAATTATAACAATATATTAAATACTATTTATGTTTCATATTTCTTCCAGATTAAAATGCTATTTTAAAAAACTACATTTATTGATAAGATACCCATTGCAACTGACATTTAAAAAAAAATCAAAATATAAAAATGTCCATAAAAATAATCAATACTAGAATTGAATGAATATCATACAGGGTAAACAATGCACTCAACAAAATATTGATTGTATAAATATAAAAAGCATTTAAAATTTATTGATATGCTAATAAAAACATCAAATACCTCATCTAAGTCAGTAAATATAGCATAAAATAAGTTATTTAACAACTTTAAAAGAATATAATAAAAATTACTTAACTATTAAATCCTTGAAAATTTTGTCTCCATAAAAAGTAATTAAAATCAACTCTTTCCTAATCCTTTAGAGATTAAACTTAATTATAATAAATACATTAAAAATTCATAAACTTTTAAATACTATTTATAAATATTTTAATCCATAAACTTACTGAATAAATGTTCTACTGATTACATTACAGAAGATTTTCATGAATAAAATTTAAAAAATGAAAAAAAAATCAAACTTACACCGTAAAACTTTGTTTTTATAAATGAATAAACTTTATAAATTAAGGATCAAACAATAGTTACAATATATAATCTTATAATATAAATTTTATGGTTTGTCTGTTGGAAGGTACTTTATTGCTATAAGAAACCATCATAAATCTTTCTTGAATCAAGATTGAATCGAAAATGATTTATAGCAGTAGAATGGTCATAAAAAACAAACACTGGAATATTGTATTCGAATTCCATAACCCAAAAAGTGAATTTTATGATCTTTTGCAGTAAGATTACGACAATAAAAAGTGATTGAATATGTAAAGAAAAGTTATTTGAAAGATCTTTCTTTTCTTTTGAACAACTTTCTTTAACTATTTTTCTTTTTATCTTTGTTACCAATGAGTTTTTATATAATTCCTATAACAAAATATAGTTTAATTATATTATTCAACAGATTTAATTAAAAGTTAATTTAAGACTTTATTAATATTACTATACTGCTTTTCTAGATTTTACCTTTACCTTTTTGAGTTAAAATACAAGAATTAAACAGAGTTTATGTTACAAATAACAAATATATATATATAAGCAGATTTCTAAATATATCACAAACACAAAAAAGCTTTTAACTTTATGCTTTTATTATAGGATATTTGATATTTAAATCTTGTTGAAAAGTATGGAGATAAATTGAAGAAAAAAATATTATGAACTAAACAGGCAGAATTCAGTCGGATCTTTGTTTCATCTTTCGTCGCTAAATTAATTTCCTCCCCACACAAAACATCATTCTTTCATTTATTAAATTCTAAATGCGAATGTATTCATTAAACATTGTAATAAAACAGACATAACTAAAGCTAGAGCAATAACTGTAATAGAATGTTATCATCATTTCTTCTATCTTTAATCCTCTCTAACTATTGTTCTTACAACCATTGTTTCCAATTGTTCAAACCGTTTGAACATTAAAGAATATTTTTTCTTCTAAATAATATACTTGTAAAAGTTTTATCCTAATTGGCTAAACACTCACACATTAAGCAAGAGTTGTTTCAATCTTGATGTGCACTATTTTTTCTAAATTTTTAATTTAAGTAACCATTAAAATTACCAAAGATTGGTGAGACATCTATCAATAATGTCAAGTTATTCTAATTAAATTTACAAATAATTAATAATCAAGTAATTTAGTAAATAATTAATTAATTTTATAGAAATATGTAATGTAGCATTCTTTAGAATTTCTTTAATATCCTATTTCTTTTAAAGTCTGTAAAATTAATTTTTTAATTGATAAATTATAAGAAAAATTCATGATAAATAAAACTAAGTTAAAAGCATATATTAAACTCATTGAATTAAATCAAAATATTTTCTGTATCAAATGAAGAAACTGAGAAAAGTAAGATGAAGTCTGGGTCACAAATATGCATTTCCATCCCTCTCTAAAAGCCATAAAAATATATGAATTAAATAAAAAGAAACCACAAATTTACATAAAATTAAATTTTGGAAATCTATTTATATTCAGAATTCAAGCAAAACAATTCTTCTGGGCCTGATTACCTATGCTAGTTTATATATAAAATTGATTTCAATTACAACAATGTTTTTAATATCAATTTTTCAGTTAGCAAATTTAAATTAATGTAGAATATGTTATTTAAAGAAGAAAAAACGAAATATTTCCCTGTCAGAATAGTAGTGAATAGTCTCCAAACTATTGACTATTCCCAAAGTACATTGATCTGTTCTTTTATAGGTGTGTCAAACTCGAGATAAAGAATAAAAATGCATTTCAAAAGACATTGCAGCATAAAAATTCAAGGATAATAAATGCCTTCTTGTACCTATTATTCTCCACTGTAATAAAAATTGTGTCATTATTTTGTATTCAGTTTCTAATCTAATCATCACTAACCAGAAATGGAAAAGTGTTAATGGATTTATCATGTCCTTTCATAACATGTACTGTATTTCCAACTTCTGAATAAAAAAAAGAAACACCCCAGCATATTATAATCGTATTATGTACTAAGTCCGATATGTTTAAAATAGGTCAAAGGGTGTGGTGTATACAATCAAAAGATCCAGAGATATCCACAAAAATAGGAAAAGCCAGCTTATTAAATAAATATAAAATTTACAACATATTTTTAAACAGATTAACTTTAAGAAATTAATTCATAATGAACCATTTCAATTTTCATCACTATGTTAGCAACTTGATACTGTTATCAGTGGCCATTAATTAATAACATCAGCTTTATTATTTATAAATCTATATCCTAAATTTGCATAATAAAGAGAGGGTATAGCAGTATAAAGAAAATTAAACGACGTCCTTGACTGCTTACTAGAAAAACTTCGACAGAATTGGTTACAATCGATAAGATTTTCAACCATTTGTTCAAACAGTATCAGTTGCACTGTCACGATACCTTTTTTTTTTCGTTTTTTCCTTTAATTTTACGTTGAATTTTTAATATTTCATGATTTATTCGCGAAGTTAGAAATCTTTTTTTACTTTTCCGTAAGGGGAAATCTTACGGAAACCATTAAAAGACATCGCAGAAAGCAATTTGAGTGCATTAGACTTACAGCTGAATACTTAGAAGATTACGTCTCGTAGCAACAAGTTTAAATGTTAGATACGCCGATAAATACTAATTAACAACCTTTAGCGTTGACGTTAATATCTAGATTTAACGTAGAATAAATAAGTAGCGCATATAAAGAGGAATTTTACAGATTAACTAATCTGTCTTTTTCTTACTTAAACGCTTTCGCTAACGGTTTTTAAATTGTTTTATTAATCTTAAAAAATAAGACAAGCGAGATGTCTACTAAAAAGATTAATTCTCCGGTTTAAAAAGGCAGAAGTAAGATTTCAAAGTATTTTTTTTTTTAGATTTAACACATCTTTTTTACCCATAGCCGCGACCGTTTCGCGTCAGAAATATCAAAAAACAGATAAACTTCACAAAAGAAAACTATAAATACGTTTTTTTAAAATGTTACTAAACCGTTTTTGCGATTATCTTAAAAAAGTAATATAAATGAAAAACTTCATCCCAAAAAAAACTTACAAACGCGAATACTTAAAAAGTACTCCGTGAATTTAATAATAATAATATAAAAACTACAACTCTGCGCTTTTATAATACTAAAAAAACCAATGAAAATTTTTCTCCACTTCTAACATTCAAAAAAAAGAAAAAAAAAACGATAAATTCTATTCAAAAAACTACGCGATAGAGCACATATTTCAGTCGAGCAACCATTTTTTTCCCTCTTTCTTTCTTCCTATTACCAAACAAAACTGCAAACACAAAATGGCTCCTTTTCATGTTATATATTTTTTATGGTTCCGCTTTTCTCTGCTCAACAATAACACCAGAATAAATAGTCAACATCACGTTTTCTATCCGTTCTTTCCCCCTTTTTTTTTAAACTGTCTTCTTTACAAACTAATCTAATAACTTTGCATAATTTCTCCAAGATTAAAACACTAAAGAATGCAATAAGCTAATTGTCTGCCGGATCATAAATTAGCATTTCAGAATGTTGGATGTCTGTTAAAATTAAACGGTAACAAATCTTTTACGGTGTTTTCCATTGTTAAGGATGAGTTTTCGACCAGAGAAATGTCACCAATTCGGAAACGTAGAGGAAAAGACGAGAAAAGCTCTCCATAAATCACGGGTTTAATTCTATCCGTCCTCACAATCCTGACATTTAACTACTGGTAATAAAAGATCATCGAGCAAATCAATGGTTTGCCAGTTTGTGCAACAAACTTTCTTGTACGCAAACCGAAAAAATTCCATAGAAATAATAGAATGTTTGTTTCTGTTCGACAGATGCAACCAATTTCCAGACGCGAGCTGCTAAATCTAATACCGAATCCATTGGATTTCCATTTATTTTGAATGATGGAATTCTTTTCTTGCTCTTTTTTTTGTATTGCCGAGGGTTTTTTTCGATGTTTAGTAACTAATAGATCATAAAAAAGGGGGCAACTTACACTAAAATACTTTTTGAAGTGCACGACGATGTTCCATTAGCTTTGAATTCCCAACTTGCTAACGATATTTGACTAGGGATGGTATAATGATGCATTTCCACTTCGTGGTAGCTCCTGTAGGATCTTAACTCGCGTGCTTCCGTCATTTCCGTTATTACGAATGCTGAAAACAAAAGATAACACTACTAAAACATTGTTAAACATGTTATATAAATGTGTATTTATTTCGTTCACTGAAATTCTAAAAGGGTGAAATCCAAACAAATTTCTTAACATAAAAAAAATGCTTTTCTTCTACTTTAAAAAAAAAGTTACTTTTTCAGTTACACATGTTTAAAAAATGTTTTAAAAGAAAAAAAACAAATTCGATCAGCTTTAAATGTTATTTTCTCAAGGATTACAACAAAAATTTGTTTTTCTTTTCTGCAATACACCCTTAATTTGAATTTCTAACATTGGAGACAGGATTAATATTAATGTTTTCTACTTAACCAACAATTCCCTCCTATTATGAATTATTTATAATGAATATTAATTAAGAAACAAACGTAACACGGTAAAAAAGCGAATTAAACCAAAACAACCAATTAGAGAAAGGTCTTTTTTGATATTTTCCATCGTCTTCTCTTCAAAACACGGAAAATATTATTTAACAAATGTCCAAAAATGCAGCAGGTAGGGGAAAATATCGGCACGCGCACCCAACTATAATAGCAGATCAATATGGCGAAGAGACGACTAACGCATCTAATTAAATAAAACTGAAGATTATTATTATTTCAGAAAAATTTCGTTTTGAACTTTCTACTGGCTTATTCGTAGTTAGAAAGCATTCGTGGAAGTAGCTACTCCGAGTGTATATATTCTTTTATCTCTAGAAGAAACTTGTGTGTGGTGCTCCAAACTCTTCTAGGACACCAGTGTGATTTAGAAAATAACAGATTATATTTCCATTGTCAAAGGAGGGTGGCCGATCTACAATAGTTAATGACCCAAGCAAACAAATCCCTTATGAGAATTATCGACTATTTCATCACGATGGATTTTTTTTTCCAAATCGTTTTTTATTTTTTCTGCTTTTTCACTTTGATAAACTGTTATGCTTCGGGCAAGGAATAATATTGATGAAATTCAGCCATCGCCCCCCCTTTTTTTCCACTACGTTTTAAGGAAGTTGATTATATTTTAAAACATATTCCTTAGGCTCGATATATTGTTTAATATTCATCTTCTAACATACTTTTTTCCTAACTTAAAGCAATTTTTTAACGCTTAAACAGCACCTGAATTCGTTATAAGATACTCATATATATCTATTTTTTTCTCTTTTATTTTTTTTTAATAACGAGCAGCAGCTGTTATGGAAAGGTTCCAAAAAACGGGAGATAACATTAAAATATAATACAGCAGCCGCGTCATTTTTATCGGAATCTCGATTTATAGAGAATTCTCGAGATGTAGTTGACATTTAAATATGAAATTCATCAAGCCTCATAATTTCCATATCATTAACGCTTTAATTCTCCTGTACGATAAAGCTCCTTTGAACATATTTTTGATTACAGCAAGGTCAGTAACTATTTGTAATTAGAAGCACGCCTACTTATATTCTTTATTTTCCTGATATTGTAAATGAAGAACCTCACGCCGCCACCCTTTCCTTGTTTCAGACAAACAAACGATTTATTTAATACATACGAAATATTTTTACTCAAATTCTACATTTACCTAATCCTACATTTCACAAGAATTTAGTTATACAGTTTATATATTAAACATTACGTACTTGACAGTTTAATATGTAATTTAAAACCGTGTTTATGATATATATGTCCTGTAATTTGATTGTATATGCTATATGATAAATATAGTGAAAACTTATGCTATAATTTAATCTAAAATAATCCTACATATAATGTATTTAATTATAAACAGATTTAAAAGCATTTTGTTTCAGATAAGTCTATACTAAATCAGATTTTAATTATCTACATGTATGTATATACAAATTTAAATCAATATATAACTAAGTGACTAAATGCACCATACTATAATTCACATTACTGTATAAATAATTAACTCTTAAATCATTAATAGTACATTAAAGTGGCATTAATCCATGTAAATATATCTTCCAGATACACAATTGTTTAGAATATTTAAAATACATATTCTGATTTATCACCTTGAATCTTAATTATAATAATAATAATTATTATTATTATTATTATTTGTACTTCATGAATAAAAATAATTCGTATTAATTGAAGTAATAATGCATTGCAGAAAAGTTTATCTATGAGTAAACAGTATAAAAGTTTGTAAAGTCATTTATGTTTTGGCAGAAGAAGAAAAAAAAATTTATCTTTTGGCATTCACTTTATATAATTTAACATTACAATTTTACTTTTTCCAATGTAAAAGTATACTTTTTTTTATATAAAATATATATATTTTTTAAATTTTACTGTTTACTTCTAAACGTGGGATTAATTTAATCTGTTTAATGGAATTTGTTAATATTTTATTAACCTATTTTATTTGAATTAATTTATAACTTTGATTTAGTCACTTAAACTATAAAAATTTAATTTATATATTTAATTTTTAAATGTATTTATAATCCATACAGTTTTAACTTATACAAAAATAAAAATATATTTATAAATCTGTTTTGTAGTTTATATTCATTGAAAGTAATTTAATTACAGTTTCATTAAAGATAATGTTTTATTTTAAAACTTCTAAAAACTTTATTTTATTTATTATAATTTTCTTTTTAAAATAAAATCGGCACGTTATTTATAATCATAACAGAATTTGATTAAGTCATAGCAACTAATTTAATTTGGTATTCTTTAAAGACATTAATAATAATTAATTTCTACAATTAAATTTCGATTATAATCATCATACAATGTAACCAAAGTATAAAATAATGATTAAAAATCAGAAATCATTTTTATGCAATTAAAATTATGTATAAAAATAAATTTTGAGTGCTTTTTCCTGTTAAAAAAACATTTTATTGGTCATACTTATAGGGAAAAGTGTAGGCTGTATAGATCCACTTGCACTAATATAAAAAAAGGGGAGAAAAATGCTGTTTATAATATAAGCGCTCGATATATAGAGTAAATTATTCATTCAAATTCTATATTATTTAATAAATAATAGGAAAATATGTTAAAAATAATAAAATTTAAACCTTTTCTCAATCTCAAATAATATTGCCTCCGATAATACCACTGGAAAAGATACTAAAAATGTAAATTTCATTAATATTTACAATTAAAATTTCTATGTATTTTCACTCAAAGATGCGAACATCACGATGTTTTGCCGGATGAAATTGATTATTTTCCACACAATCGGCTTTAAAAGCACGTGTATAAGAGCTTTATGTGCTAAAAACACTAATTAATGTATTTAGAAAAGATCGACTTACCTGACGTTACACATTTGAGTTGTAAATATGTTAAAAGGAGAAGAAAACTTCTCCTGTGTGTCAGCAGACGAGCATCCGTCGCCATCTTTGCTTTCAGAAGTAGTGACGAGTGACGTCTCAGTCATGTGATAATGACGTTTAAGTTTCACGCTCCCCCTGGGAGTAAAGTGTTTCAAAATAAAATATTCATGTTAATTGAAAAAAATAATAAGAAAAAAAATAAAATGTTTTAAAATGGCGATAACGGAGATTAATTGATAATGTCGATAAATTTCTTATTAATTATTTAGGAACGTGTGTGATTTTTTACTTTGATTAATGATCAAGACGGATGAAAATCTCCGCTACGCTTCTAAAAGCAGTGAAATTCTATTAAAAAATATAATAATTTTTAGGAAATTCGTGCCGTTGATTATATATTTTTTACACAATATTTTTTTATTAATTGTTTTAAATATTATAGAAAACATTAATATAATATTAATTTAAAAATTCAAAAATTTTTTTCACAATAAAAATTTTACATTAAAGATTTTAAGTAGAGTGAAAATACAGTTTAAAGATAGAAAAAATTTCATTTAGTCGTCATTTTTTTTCTTAATTTTCTTTTTTCTATAGCCTTTATTTTAAGCAGAAACTAAGCGGTTAACCAAGCATTTCATTAATTAAGTTGCTAACAAAATGCTCTTAAAAGTTGTTGACTATTCGCTCCATTAAATAAGCTGTTAATTAGATCAAGTGTACTAAATTTAGCATCAAAACATGATTTTTTTTCATTAATACACACTATAAATAATAATTAAATTCCCCGAGAACCGGAAATGTTTTAAATTAAATCATTTTCGAAATTATTTAAATCAATTTCACTTTTTTAATTATAATTAATATTTTTTTATTTTGTTTAAACAAAATCTTTAATTTTAGTTAATTTTTTTTTATATTTTTTAATTTCAATTAAACAAAATTTTCTTAATTACAATTAATTTTTATTTCAATTAAACAAAAGCTGAAATCAATTAATTTTTCCTTTTTGTAACTTTTCTTGAAATCGATCGTTTTAAAATTAATTTTATTTAATTACAAAATATTATTGTAATTAATATCTAATTGTAATTAAATCATTTACGTTATAATTAAATAAATCGCAAAAAGTTTTTAGTCGTATTTATAATTAATATCAAGTAAAAATTATTGAAACTTCTTCCTAAACAAGAAATTAAGCCAAATATTTTTTTAAATATGTAAGTTAATATTTATAATAAAATGTATTTTTCATAAGAGTTTCTGCATTTGTTATTACTATTATTTAGTGCTTTTTTGTATACAATTTTTAATTTTCTAAATTTTTAATTTAAGTAACCATTAAAATTACCAAAGATTGGTGAGACATCTATCAATAATGTCAAGTTATTCTAATTAAATTTACAAATAATTAATAATCAAGTAATTTAGTAAATAATTAATTAATTTTATAGAAATATGTAATGTAGCATTCTTTAGAATTTCTTTAATATCCTATTTCTTTTAAAGTCTGTAAAATTAATTTTTTAATTGATAAATTATAAGAAAAATTCATGATAAATAAAACTAAGTTAAAAGCATATATTAAACTCATTGAATTAAATCAAAATATTTTCTGTATCAAATGAAGAAACTGAGAAAAGTAAGATGAAGTCTGGGTCACAAATATGCATTTCCATCCCTCTCTAAAAGCCATAAAAATATATGAATTAAATAAAAAGAAACCACAAATTTACATAAAATTAAATTTTGGAAATCTATTTATATTCAGAATTCAAGCAAAACAATTCTTCTGGGCCTGATTACCTATGCTAGTTTATATATAAAATTGATTTCAATTACAACAATATTTTTAATATCAATTTTTCAGTTAGCAAATTTAAATTAATGTAGAATATGTTATTTAAAGAAGAAAAAACGAAATATTTCCCTGTCAGAATAGTAGTGAATAGTCTCCAAACTATTGACTATTCCCAAAGTACATTGATCTGTTCTTTTATAGGTGTGTCAAACTCGAGATAAAGAATAAAAATGCATTTCAAAAGACATTGCAGCATAAAAATTCAAGGATAATAAATGCCTTCTTGTACCTATTATTCTCCACTGTAATAAAAATTGTGTCATTATTTTGTATTCAGTTTCTAATCTAATCATCACTAACCAGAAATGGAAAAGTGTTAATGGATTTATCATGTCCTTTCATAACATGTACTGTATTTCCAACTTCTGAATAAAAAAAAGAAACACCCCAGCATATTATAATCGTATTATGTACTAAGTCCGATATGTTTAAAATAGGTCAAAGGGTGTGGTGTATACAATCAAAAGATCCAGAGATATCCACAAAAATAGGAAAAGCCAGCTTATTAAATAAATATAAAATTTACAACATATTTTTAAACATATTAACTTTAAGAAATTAATTCATAATGAACCATTTCAATTTTCATCACTATGTTAGCAACTTGATACTGTTATCAGTGGCCATTAATTAACATCAGCTTTATTATTTATAAATCTATATCCTAAATTTGCATAACAAAGAGAGGGTATAGCAGTATAAAGAAAATTAAACGACGTCCTTGACTGCTTACTAGAAAAACTTCGACAGAATTGGTTACAATCGATAAGATTTTCAACCATTTGTTCAAACAGTATCAGTTGCACTGTCACGATACCATTTTTTTTTCGTTTTTTCCTTTAATTTTACGTTGAATTTTTAATATTTCATGATTTATTCGCGAAGTTAGAAATCTTTTTTTACTTTTCCGTAAGGGGAAATCTTACGGAAACCATTAAAAGACATCGCAGAAAGCAATTTGAGTGCATTAGACTTACAGCTGAATACTTAGAAGATTACGTCTCGTAGCAACAAGTTTAAATGTTAGATACGCCGATAAATACTAATTAACAACCTTTAGCGTTGACGTTAATATCTAGATTTAACGTAGAATAAATAAGTAGCGCATATAAAGAGGAATTTTACAGATTAACTAATCTGTCTTTTTCTTACTTAAACGCTTTCGCTAACGGTTTTTAAATTGTTTTATTAATCTTAAAAAATAAGACAAGCGAGATGTCTACTAAAAAGATTAATTCTCCGGTTTAAAAAGGCAGAAGTAAGATTTCAAAGTATTTTTTTTTTTAGATTTAACACATCTTTTTTACCCATAGCCGCGACCGTTTCGCGTCAGAAATATCAAAAAACAGATAAACTTCACAAAAGAAAACTATAAATACGTTTTTTTAAAATGTTACTAAACCGTTTTTGCGATTATCTTAAAAAAGTAATATAAATGAAAAACTTCATCCCAAAAAAAACTTACAAACGCGAATACTTAAAAAGTACTCCGTGAATTTAATAATAATAATATAAAAACTACAACTCTGCGCTTTTATAATACTAAAAAAACCAATGAAAATTTTTCTCCACTTCTAACATTCAAAAAAAAGAAAAAAAAAACGATAAATTCTATTCAAAAAACTACGCGATAGAGCACATATTTCAGTCGAGCAACCATTTTTTTCCCTCTTTCTTTCTTCCTATTACCAAACAAAACTGCAAACACAAAATGGCTCCTTTTCATGTTATATATTTTTTATGGTTCCGCTTTTCTCTGCTCAACAATAACACCAGAATAAATAGTCAACATCACGTTTTCTATCCGTTCTTTCCCCCTTTTTTTTTAAACTGTCTTCTTTACAAACTAATCTAATAACTTTGCATAATTTCTCCAAGATTAAAACACTAAAGAATGCAATAAGCTAATTGTCTGCCGGATCATAAATTAGCATTTCAGAATGTTGGATGTCTGTTAAAATTAAACGGTAACAAATCTTTTACGGTGTTTTCCATTGTTAAGGATGAGTTTTCGACCAGAGAAATGTCACCAATTCGGAAACGTAGAGGAAAAGACGAGAAAAGCTCTCCATAAATCACGGGTTTAATTCTATCCGTCCTCACAATCCTGACATTTAACTACTGGTAATAAAAGATCATCGAGCAAATCAATGGTTTGCCAGTTTGTGCAACAAACTTTCTTGTACGCAAACCGAAAAAATTCCATAGAAATAATAGAATGTTTGTTTCTGTTCGACAGATGCAACCAATTTCCAGACGCGAGCTGCTAAATCTAATACCGAATCCATTGGATTTCCATTTATTTTGAATGATGGAATTCTTTTCTTGCTCTTTTTTTTGTATTGCCGAGGGTTTTTTTCGATGTTTAGTAACTAATAGATCATAAAAAAGGGGGCAACTTACACTAAAATACTTTTTGAAGTGCACGACGATGTTCCATTAGCTTTGAATTCCCAACTTGCTAACGATATTTGACTAGGGATGGTATAATGGTGCATTTCCACTTCGTGGTAGCTCCTGTAGGATCTTAACTCGCGTGCTTCCGTCATTTCCGTTATTACGAATGCTGAAAACAAAAGATAACACTACTAAAACATTGTTAAACATGTTATATAAATGTGTATTTATTTCGTTCACTGAAATTCTAAAAGGGTGAAATCCAAACAAATTTCTTAACATAAAAAAAAATGCTTNATAATATTTTATGGAGTATTATACATTTATTGTAATTATTATATAAATAGTATTAGAATAATTTAAAAAGTTCTGTATTTATTTTTACAATTTCGATTATTTTGATTTATTAAATCAATTAATACTTAAGTCACGTGACTTAAATTAAGTTTGATCGTAAAATTAATTGAATAATTAAAGAAAATTATTTTTTAATAAAAAAATATGTAAACGAATTCCGAAATGATTTATTTAAATAAATTTCGAAGTTAAAACATTTCAAAACTTCGCCTGCTAAATACTATTTCGCCATCTAGCGATAAAAATTGTAATTAATCTTACAATAATTAATAAAGAAATTACTGTACATAAAATTCTTCAAAATATGTGATAAATATTTATTTAGAGTAAATATTTTCTCTATTTTAAAAACATGTAATTTTATTTTTAATATATTGAATGAAATATTAATTTAATTTTCGAAATTTAATTACATTTTTACTTTTTAAACTCATATATAAATACAATTAACGATTTTATAAGCAATTAATAATTAAATTTTTTTATTAATTTTTAAAATGTATCAAATAAGAATTTGATGAAATAGTTACTTTTATAAACACCAGATGGCAGCAAGCAAAAACTATGGTCATTAAGTATTAAAAATTATAAAGATTACATTAAATTGTAATTAACGTTTTAAATAACGTTAATTACTTTTAGTAAATATATAAATTACTTAACTTTTGCTAAATTAAGGATTATGTTATCATTTTTATTACATTTAAATGTTTATAATGACGTCGTTTAAGAGAAGCAACAATTAGAAACTTTTAAGAAAATTATTATACTGTATTTTAAAAAAGTAATTAAATTTCAATTAATTTTTTAATATGTTGAAAGATAAAATAATAATTTTATTTTACAATAATATCGATCGGAAAGCCAAATTAAAAATTACTACGCTAATTAGTGCGTAGAGCGTATTAAAAAGAATTTTTATTAAAAAATATTTAATATAAAGTTAAACTTTTTATAAAATCGTATGGGACGTAGTAGTTGTAGTTTAATTTTATGTAAATTATCTTAAAAGTTTAATTAATTTTTAAGATAAAATGGAGGAGTTTTATCACACACCGCTTTTAAGAGATTTGGCGAAATGTATAAAAGAAAGACAGGAAGGAAGTTATAACTTCACGCGGTTTATAATCGATATTTCATTTTACACGATTTATAATGAAAATCGATGTACAATATCAAACCACAAGCTTTCGAATGTTATTATTATTATTATTATTTGTATGTGAAAGTATTGCAACATCCTTCACAGAAGAAGAATTCACTTTCCTATCTTCTAATCCAGAAAAATTCTTTAATATTTTTCTAAATAAATATGTGTATAAATAAAATATTCGAGTCATAAAAGCGAAATATTCGGCAAAATTTAAGCTTAAAATGACAGTTATGATGGATATCGCTGACGGTTTCGTATCTGGTGACGTCATAAGTATGTCACCTTGATCACACGGGGATGATGTCGTCTCGTGAATAATTTCGTTGATAAACACCTTCTATGCATTTTCGAACCTTGGATAAAAACTTTATATAATAATAAGTTCGCCTTTACAAGCGTGTAAACATTTGTAAGACGATCAAACGTTGCTAATATGGTGGTGTGTGTATACAAACGTTAACAACGAGTAATGGAAGTTGATGTGATACATAATAGAGCGCTTCCCTCGTAAAATAACAATGGATTGTCATATAGAACATTCAATATTTTGTAAATAACTAAATTAGCACTCGTGTAGTCCTGATTAGCATGCTTCGGAGGCGAACAAATGGCAACATTAAATCAAAGAATATTGAATATGCAAATTACTCGTGATTGGTGTCCACGCCTCTTTGGCATCCTTGAGTATGTGATGTGGAAAGGTTCATCAGGATAGTTGCATGCTCTTAATTAAGTTATACCAAGTAAATACAGTAAGTCTAGTATGAAACCTGCAACGGTTTCATACTTAGAAGGTATGGGTTAAAGAAAAGTAAGAAGGTTGTATACATTATTTCAGGTACTCTTCACTGTAATACAGTCGAACCCCATCTCTAAAAGGCGGCCATTTTTCGATAACGTTTCTTTTTGAAAGTCATACAAAATAACTCCTAACAATAGCTCTTTTTGTCCGTCAGTGACAGTTATTTACAGTTTTGCCTGTATTTCATAATTACATAAAGTTATTAATGTATACATGCAATTTAATTATGTAGATAGAAATTTATAAACCCAATTAAATGAATTAAAAAGTAAAAAGTTCCAATATTTCTGATCATACAAATTAATTTATCCAAATATTATGCGAGCTATTCTCGGTTTAAGTTATTTCACTGTAGAGTCTTCTATTATTAATATAAATAACGTAATTAAATAATTTTAGTAGTATAAATTAGTAAAAATTTAGAACCTATTCGTAGCTATAATTTGATAATAATGATGAAATTGAGAAATGCAGAAATCGCTCAATAAAAGTTCTAATTTTCGGCTTACAAAAATATTAAAATCGATTAGACCGGTTAAGAATGTGATTTTATAACCGTACTTTTATATCTAAATTGTAAAACTGTAAAAAGATTGTGTAAATATTTGATTATTCTTGTAAAATTTTCCTAGAAAAGTTACTAAAAATGTCCTAAAATTGCATTAAAACACTCTTCTCGAATATTATTTTTAAGCCATTTTTATAAGCATTTCTTGAAAATTCTACCAAAAAGATATACAGTACTAAACATATCCTAAAATTGCATTTAAAAGGCTTTCTTGGACATTATTTTAAGGCATTTTTATAAGCATTTTTCGAGACTTTTAGAATATTTTTCAAGTTTTCTACGTTTAAATTTGTACATAAAGATGCGAAAGAATCTTGTAATCATTAAACGATAACATAAAATTGATAATGCTCTAATAATAATAATATATGTATTTTTAAATAATATCTCTATCATGTGATATTCGAATAAATCAGAAATACCTTTTCAGATATTTGCTGAATGCTTATGAGTCTGCAACATCTATTTTCATTTGTCCTTTTCACTTCGATTTCAAAATCTTTGATGGACTTCGACTTCTCCATAGATTTTTCTTTCTAGTTATGTAAATAAAATCAAAACAGTTAAAAATATATGCGTAGATATTTATAGGACCATACAGAATTAGCACTTTACAAAAAAAAAAATCAATTAAATCATATTTTTATGAATATTTTATACATTATGATAAAGTGTGTATTTTATGAATCGATTCTTCTAAAATTTACTTTATTGATTTATGAAACAACGTTTTTTAAGGTGAAAATATATGAAACACTCTTATATAGAATTTAATGTAAGGAGTATGTTGAAAATAATGTTTTCTGGGAACAAAACAATATTTCATACAGTTTACTAGGAGATATATCTGAAAAATCAATGTTTTGTAGGGTGAAATAATGTTTTATACNTTTTTTTTTTTTTTACTGTAAAGCGTATGGATACTGTAAACCAAATTCCTTATTGACTTAGGATAGACTCCTTATCCCGGGAGAATACAAACATTATTACTGGCATACTGAAAAATCATAAAGTGGATAAGGCTTTGTTTACATTTATTAGAGTAGGGTCAACATTTATTTGTCACAATCCGCTGACAGAAGATTTTTTAAAAAAAAGTTTGAAAGTACTTTAAAAAGTTGACAACTCTGAGTGTTTGTATTTTGTAGGGGAAAAATCCCTAGCTCTTTCATCTCGGCGACCCTGCCCTAGGATCTATCCCTAAAATATCAGCACGGAGTTCATACAGTACATTCTATATATATAAAATTAACAATAGGATACTTCTAGAACTAATCATAAGGAACATTTTATAGAAACGACACTTTATTGTGGTAATTATACTAACCAAGTGAATAAAATCATTAGACTTAATTAGTTGGTAGTGGATTTCGTACCTGACTAACAGGCTGGCCATGTGAAGTTTTCCAGGTTTTCTTCACGTGTCACACCTAAATATGGTCCAGTTTCTTTACAGATAGTCTAGAACGTGCTGTATCTTCCTCTTGACAGATCACCCATAAGTTGAATTGCCTTATTCCATCAAAATCAACATTTGATGAATTAATTAGAAGAGTATTTTATATAAAGATAGTGTAATATAAAATTTATGAAAGTAAATTTCTCTCTCTCCTCGTTGCATCTGCTATACAGAAGGCTTGTTGATCCTTTTTCTTCGTGTCCTTCTATCTGTTGCATATTCTATCCTTGATCTATCCATTGTTTTATGTTGTATATAACCTTGGATGTCCTCTTTCTCTTGTTTCTCCTACACGAAAGTAAATATAGTATAAATTGGAAAAATACTGTACATTTAAAATATTATTAATTTTTCTTTTTAATTTTTAAGGGTTAAAGTTTTAAATAATAAAGTTTAATGAATGAATTTTGTATCTGTGGATGAACAAGAGTGGAAGAGATTTTCGAGAGATTCTCCGGATACGAATTGAATATGATGTTAATATCGTTTTATAAGCATTTATTTCTGCTATTTTTAGATAAAAACAAGCATAGGAAAATTTGATACGGAGATACAAAAAATAATTTATAATGGCTAGAATATATAAAAATTGTAAATATTCAAAAATAAAAATCTTTAAAAATTAATTAATTTTCTTTAATATGAAGACATCGCTATAACTTTTAAATTTTTATTAATTTTTTAAAAAAGTTTTAAACATTATTTTCTCTTACTTTTTCATTCATCTTATCTATTCAGTACCGCACTGAGACCTTCTCCTCATTTTCTCATCCTTTTTCTCCTCTCTCACTCTCCTCCTTTCTTCAGCCTGCACTCTAGAATAAGCTCTATACACAAATAATAATAATTTCTTAGCATATGAAAATTTTTTAAAAACGCTACTAAAAATATAACTAAAAGTTCATTTTTTTTAATTAATTGCAAATTTTTAAATATAACAAATAAAAAATTCAATTTTTTACTCATTCTGCCTTATAAGTACTGAAAGGCTTTTATCCCATACTCATAGAAGATTTTTGTTTTACTTTATTGTTCTGTAAGCATTAACAAGGCCCTTTTCCATGACCATCGTGAATTCGGCCAGGCCCATAATGGTGATAGACGGGTTCTGAAATATCCGGTCGAAAACCCCAAAAAATCCTGGGGTTTTCGACCGGATTCGATCCAGGATCCCCCAGAACTGTAGTCTGATGCCTCGACGACTCGATCATCCAGCGATAATTCAAAAAGTTTTTAAAAGTTCACCAAGTTTGCAATTTTTAAAGCAACATTTTCACAGTTTAATGCTCCAAGTTATTTTACAAATATAAATAAAATTATGTACTGTACATTTAATAATTTTTTTAAGTTAAGAAATCTGATTTATGACTCTACTAAACCTTATACAGAATTACAAAAAAATAAATATTAAAAGTAATAAATGTAGATTTATAAAACAGGCCGATTTTATAATTGAAATACAGTAAATGTAAGACATTTTTCCTAATAAAAAGAAAAATAAATATACTTTTTTGAGAAATTCTTAAAGTTTTAATGGATCATTTCCATGTGAAAGTTTATGACTCCACTTCTAGTAATTCGATTTAATGTTATACATCCCGTTAAAAATTTATTAATAAAATTAGGAATAAACGTGACGCCATTCATGTTTATCGTTAATGGATTACATTTAAATATACTGTATCGCCTATTGATTGGTTAAAAATAGAACACATTTAAATTTGTTCCGACCAATCATTTTATCGTTAAATTAATGTTATTATAAATGGGTTAAATTTATACTATTTGTAAAATTTTATATTTAAAAAAATTAAGGAAAATATTATTATTTTATTTATAAAATTTAATTAATATTTAATTTTATATCAAGTCGCCATCTGTTAGTGAAAATTTGTATTAATAATCTCACGAGAATAAACTGAGTAACCATTGAAAATATAAATGTTTTATTTATTAAATCATTAAAATATAAATATTTAAAAATTAAATTATTTCTTGGAATAAAGTCATAGTATAAAATATTAAATGAAAACAGAATACATTTTTTCTTACTTTTAAACTAAATGAGAAAATTTTCATTTAATTGATTTATAATTGAAATATTACTGTTTAATTTTTATTATAATTAAATTTTTCAATAATAATTATGAAATTTTTAGTCATTGTTTTTTTTTAACTGATTAAATTTTATATGCGAAATAACAGATGATAATTAATAATTAAAAATAATATTTTATGGAGTATTATACATTTATTGTAATTATTATATAAATAGTATTAGAATAATTTAAAAAGTTCTGTATTTATTTTTACAATTTCGATTATTTTGATTTATTAAATCAATTAATACTTAAGTCACGTGACTTAAATTAAGTTTGATCGTAAAATTAATTGAATAATTAAAGAAAATTATTTTTTAATAAAAAAATATGTAAACGAATTCCGAAATGATTTATTTAAATAAATTTCGAAGTTAAAACATTTCAAAACTTCGCCTGCTAAATACTATTTCGCCATCTAGCGATAAAAATTGTAATTAATCTTACAATAATTAATAAAGAAATTACTGTACATAAAATTCTTCAAAATATGTGATAAATATTTATTTAGAGTAAATATTTTCTCTATTTTAAAAACATGTAATTTTATTTTTAATATATTGAATGAAATATTAATTTAATTTTCGAAATTTAATTACATTTTTACTTTTTAAACTCATATATAAATACAATTAACGATTTTATAAGCAATTAATAATTAAATTTTTTTATTAATTTTTAAAATGTATCAAATAAGAATTTGATGAAATAGTTACTTTTATAAACACCAGATGGCAGCAAGCAAAAACTATGGTCATTAAGTATTAAAAATTATAAAGATTACATTAAATTGTAATTAACGTTTTAAATAACGTTAATTACTTTTAGTAAATATATAAATTACTTAACTTTTGCTAAATTAAGGATTATGTTATCATTTTTATTACATTTAAATGTTTATAATGACGTCGTTTAAGAGAAGCAACAATTAGAAACTTTTAAGAAAATTATTATACTGTATTTTAAAAAAGTAATTAAATTTCAATTAATTTTTTAATATGTTGAAAGATAAAATAATAATTTTATTTTACAATAATATCGATCGGAAAGCCAAATTAAAAATTACTACGCTAATTAGTGCGTAGAGCGTATTAAAAAGAATTTTTATTAAAAAATATTTAATATAAAGTTAAACTTTTTATAAAATCGTATGGGACGTAGTAGTTGTAGTTTAATTTTATGTAAATTATCTTAAAAGTTTAATTAATTTTTAAGATAAAATGGAGGAGTTTTATCACACACCGCTTTTAAGAGATTTGGCGAAATGTATAAAAGAAAGACAGGAAGGAAGTTATAACTTCACGCGGTTTATAATCGATATTTCATTTTACACGATTTATAATGAAAATCGATGTACAATATCAAACCACAAGCTTTCGAATGTTATTATTATTATTATTATTTGTATGTGAAAGTATTGCAACATCCTTCACAGAAGAAGAATTCACTTTCCTATCTTCTAATCCAGAAAAATTCTTTAATATTTTTCTAAATAAATATGTGTATAAATAAAATATTCGAGTCATAAAAGCGAAATATTCGGCAAAATTTAAGCTTAAAATGACAGTTATGATGGATATCGCTGACGGTTTCGTATCTGGTGACGTCATAAGTATGTCACCTTGATCACACGGGGATGATGTCGTCTCGTGAATAATTTCGTTGATAAACACCTTCTATGCATTTTCGAACCTTGGATAAAAACTTTATATAATAATAAGTTCGCCTTTACAAGCGTGTAAACATTTTTAAGACGATCAAACGTTGCTAATATGGTGGTGTGTGTATACAAACGTTAACAACGAGTAATGGAAGTTGATGTGATACATAATAGAGCGCTTCCCTCGTAAAATAACAATGGATTGTCATATAGAACATTCAATATTTTGTAAATAACTAAATTAGCACTCGTGTAGTCCTGATTAGCATGCTTCGGAGGCGAACAAATGGCAACATTAAATCAAAGAATATTGAATATGCAAATTACTCGTGATTGGTGTCCACGCCTCTTTGGCATCCTTGAGTATGTGATGTGGAAAGGTTCATCAGGATAGTTGCATGCTCTTAATTAAGTTATACCAAGTAAATACAGTAAGTCTAGTATGAAACCTGCAACGGTTTCATACTTAGAAGGTATGGGTTAAAGAAAAGTAAGAAGGTTGTATACATTATTTCAGATACTCTTCACTGTAATACAGTCGAACCCCATCTCTAAAAGGCGGCCATTTTTCGATAACGTTTCTTTTTGAAAGTCATACAAAATAACTCCTAACAATAGCTCTTTTTGTCCGTCAGTGACAGTTATTTACAGTTTTGCCTGTATTTCATAATTACATAAAGTTATTAATGTATACATGCAATTTAATTATGTAGATAGAAATTTATAAACCCAATTAAATGAATTAAAAAGTAAAAAGTTCCAATATTTCTGATCATACAAATTAATTTATCCAAATATTATGCGAGCTATTCTCGGTTTAAGTTATTTCACTGTAGAGTCTTCTATTATTAATATAAATAACGTAATTAAATAATTTTAGTAGTATAAATTAGTAAAAATTTAGAACCTATTCGTAGCTATAATTTGATAATAATGATGAAATTGAGAAATGCAGAAATCGCTCAATAAAAGTTCTAATTTTCGGCTTACAAAAATATTAAAATCGATTAGACCGGTTAAGAATGTGATTTTATAACCGTACTTTTATATCTAAATTGTAAAACTGTAAAAAGATTGTGTAAATATTTGATTATTCTTGTAAAATTTTCCTAGAAAAGTTACTAAAAATGTCCTAAAATTGCATTAAAACACTCTTCTCGAATATTATTTTTAAGCCATTTTTATAAGCATTTCTTGAAAATTCTACCAAAAAAGTACACTAAACATATCCTAAAATAGCATTTAAAAAAAAAACGCTTTCTTGGACATTATTTTAAGGCATTTTTATAAGCATTTTTCGAGACTTTTAGAGTATTTTCAAGTTTTCTACGTTTAAATTTGTACATAAAGATGCGAAAGAATCTTGTAATCATTAAACAATAATGTAATCTGTAACATGTTTATTGATAATGTTCTGATAATAATAATAATAATATATGTATTTTTAAATAATATCTCTATCATGTGATATTCGAATAAATCAGAAATACCTTTTCAGATATTTGCTGAATGCTTATGAGTCTGCAACATCTATTTTCATTTGTCCTTTTCACTTCGATTTCAAAATCTTTGATGGACTTCGACTTCTCCATAGATTTTTCTTTCTAGTTATGTAAATAAAATCAAAACAGTTAAAAATATATGCGTAGATATTTATAGGACCATACAGAATTAGCACTTTACAAAAAAAAAAATCAATTAAATCATATTTTTATGAATATTTTATACATTATGATAAAGTGTGTATTTTATGAATCGATTCTTCTAAAATTTACTTTATTGATTTATGAAACAACGTTTTTTTAAGGTGAAAATATATGAAACACTCTTTTATAGAATTTAATGTAAGGAGTATGTTGAAAATAATGTTTTCTGGGAACAAAACAATATTTCATACAGTTTACTAGGAGATATATCTGAAAAATCAATGTTTTGTAGGGTGAAATAATGTTTTATACAGTTTACTGTAAAGAGTATTTTTAAAATCATTGTTTTCTGAGTTTAAAACAGTGTTTTACAGGGTTTACTTAAAGGTGCAATATTGAAAAAAAACAGTGTTTTATGAAGTGAAACAATGTAAAAAAGTAACGTTTACAGCTGTAAAAAAAAAAAACAGTTTTCTAAAGGTGAAACAATGTTTTAAAGAATTTACTATAAGAAATATCTTTAAAAAACCTGTTTTTTCTGAGATCTATACAATGCGAAACAATATTTTACTGTAGAGAATAGCTTTAAAAATATTCATTTATAATGTGTACTTTAAATATTTTATAGGATTAACTGTAGTACTTCATAACTTAATATCAATATTTTATAGAGCTGTATAAAACTTATGAATAATTGTTTTATAAAGCTTATTGTAACGTTGTAAAAGTATTTTATCTAATGTTTCTCTAGTTATTTCATAAAACATTTTTTAAGAATTATTATAATAAATATTCTATAGTAAAAATCTATACCGGAACACGTAAAATACGTTCTGTAATATAGATTTATTATATGCAAAATATAATTGTATGAAATTATTTACTATAAGTCTCGATATAACGATTTTCTCTTAACTGCGGTGGCAAGTGTAAGTGGATTTCCATGTCAATGAACATGGCTGACACCTTTATATCAGAATAAAAATATAAAAAAGTAAAGAATTTTTGTCACTACGAACCACGTGTTTCAGCAATTTCTCAAATAAAAAAAGAAAAACTTTTCCAAATCAAAAAATCGCAATTTATAAGAATAAAAAATGTTAATATTTTTTTAAAGATTTAGCTCGTTAAGAATGTTTTTTATGATGTTTAAACAGTTAATTTAGACTAATTTAAAAAAATAGAAATAAATTATATGTTCTTTCTTGTTAGTCAAATTGCATCAGAAAAAGAAGAAGTAGTAGAGGGATTTAAATAAAGTAGAGAAATTTAGAGAATGAAAGGAAGTGGAAGAATGCCATTTCAGCAATATGACGAACTAATCCTGAAAAAAAAAAAGATGTATAAGCTAAAAAAAATGTGGAATTCCTAGAAGACATCAGTAGAAGCTCCTTTAATGACATTGATCGGTGATTTCTCGTTAAGATCTAATGTATTTGCAGTACTCTTCAATGTTGTATAACGTAAAATTGCAGTTTAAGATTACATATTTTTTTCATAAGCTAATTGTTTTTCGTTTTATTACGTAAGGTAAAAATCAATGAAAATTTTAGAAGATCCTTTTTCAATTTTCTTTATTTTAATTTGTTTCCTCCCAATTTTAATAATGAAAGATTTAAAGTTAATGGTGTTAAGGTGAAGTATCAATTCAGAAAATCATTTTTTTTTACTTCCCTGCTGTCATACAATATATAACAGAGGGAAAGTATGATGGTCTGTCAAAAGATAACCCTCCAGATTTAAAAAATTTTGGACTCAGGTGATCTTGAAACGTCGAGAAATGCAAAAATATTTGAGGGTTTTTCTGTGTATATGGATGTTTATGTGGAGGCATGATTTTGTTCACCATCTTTCAAGCTTAATAACTTCTATACCTTTTGTCGAAAATTTCTGAAATTTTGCAGGGAAGTTTGTATGTCAGGGCCATTGATACTACTAAATTTTTGTAGTTAAAGGTTAAGTGGGTGGGGAAGTAGAGGGGGATCAAATATATCTCCAGTGGGATCGGACTTAATGAAGAATTTTACTCGTTATTAGCATTTACAATTGTTTAAACTCGCCTTTACCGTCAAAATTAAGCTTTTTACCGTTCTATAATAATTACTAATATAAAAATTTTTAAATAAAATCTTTTAACAGATGGCTCCACACGCAATTTTAACTTTTTGGTCGGGAAAGTTACGCAACTCGTTGCTGGATTTTTTTATAATTGATTATAAATGTTTTTGTGATTGGATCAACGTTTTGAATATAAAAAAAATATTCGAAACGTCGATTCGTAAACGCTTTTATGAAGTATTCTCTATTAAATATTTTATAAAATGTCATTTTCTGATGCTGAATGTAACCAGTATATTGATTTAAATAATATCTTATCGCATTTATTTTATAAAATCATGTTTTTATAGGTGATGTATAAAATTTTCTGTGTATAACATGTAATGTAAATGCTTTATAAACAGTATTCTGTGGTAATAATGTTGAGGATTATTTTAAAACAAAAATTCCATGAGATTAATTGTAGTAAATGTTAACAAATCAATATTTTATAATACTGATTATAATTAACATTTCATAGAAATAGCATTTTATGAGATTAATTGTAATTAGTCTCCTAAATGCTGTTTTATGAAATATCAATTGTAAGAAATCTTTCATAAAACAGCATTTAGAGGATTAATTATAACATGCCACAGAAAGAGCATTTTAAGGATTAATTATAATTAATATTTCATAGGAACGATATTATAAGGAAATATATTATAATGAATACTTTATTAATTATACCGTTTCTACAAAATATTCGTAGGATACTTCTAGAACTAATCATAAGGAACATTTTATAGAAACGACACTTTATTGTGGTAATTATACTAACCAAGTGAATAAAATCATTAGACTTAATTAGTTGGTAGTGGATTTCGTACCTGACTAACAGGCTGGCCATGTGAAGTTTTCCAGGTTTTCTTCACGTGTCACACCTAAATATGGTCCAGTTTCTTTACAGATAGTCTAGAACGTGCTGTATCTTCCTCTTGACAGATCACCCATAAGTTGAATTGCCTTATTCCATCAAAATCAACATTTGATGAATTAATTAGAAGAGTATTTTATATAAAGATAGTGTAATATAAAATTTATGAAAGTAAATTTCTCTCTCTCCTCGTTGCATCTGCTATACAGAAGGCTTGTTGATCCTTTTTCTTCGTGTCCTTCTATCTGTTGCATATTCTATCCTTGATCTATCCATTGTTTTATGTTGTATATAACCTTGGATGTCCTCTTTCTCTTGTTTCTCCTACACGAAAGTAAATATAGTATATTTATCACAAAAAGACAATATATTATGGGAATTAATATAAAAAAAATAATAAAAAAAACAACGTAATAATTTCATAAAACTGACTGCAGGAAATATTTTATTCAGTTTTATATATTTTACTACAGAGAATATATAATGAAACAGCATTAACTTAGTAAATATTTTATAAAACAATGTATTATGTAGCTTATTGAACGAAATATTTTATGAGTAAAATGCATCGAGTACTTGACATGAAATTTAATATAATGAATTTTTTATATAATAACATTTTATGAAGCTTGTTATACGGAGTATTTTTTATCAAATAAATTCCTAGAAAGAGTTTTTATCACTCTCTATATTTATTTATACAGGTAAATAATTATATTTTATTGAAATAAATTATTCTGTATCGAAAGTATTCATTTTAATTGCAATTATAATACTATTAATTTCATTTTACTGTACTTTAACAACGTGATTAATGATTATATCTGATAAAACTGCAGAAAAATGTCACGAGAAAGTGTAATATTTGATAATTAAATCACATTTAAAATTATCAATGTTAAAGTAGAACTTCTCAATCAGTAGATCGCGAACTGTACAGTGTAGTAAACAGTATCGCTTTATTAGTTTCGGGATCACCAACTGAAAAGCGGTTGGGAAACAATACTTTAGAATCCAATTTATCTCGGAAAATGTGGACTGTCTAGTGGAAAAAATCGTTTTGAAAGCTTCATAAAGCACTAAATAGCACTGAAGCAGAATTTAATCCTGGAAAATATTCCGGTTTATCAACCAGTAGATCACGAACCCCAGAATTTAGTAAATTGTATTGTCGAATACTTTCAGGCTCACTAGCCGAAAATTGGTTGAGAAAATAAGATTCTAGGTGAATTAATTTCAGTAAACGTAGAATATACGGTGAAAAAGTAATTTTAACGCTTCGTAAAGCACTGAATAGTATTGAAGTGGAAGCTAGTTCTTAAAAACTTCTGTACGGTTTCCAACCAGTGGATCGCCATCTAAGAATAGAGTAAATTTTCTAAATAATTTCAGGCTCACAAACTGAAAATAAACAGAAAAAATATACTTAAAAACAATAGAAAATATTTTTTCTGGTTTAATGAAAATTTTAATGGAACATGAAATCCTGAATGTTAGAAAACCCTTCCTCCAGATCATTTTTGTCTTAAAATTACGTTATAAAATTGTAAATTAAGTCCTAATGAACAATATAATTTATAAACATGAAATTTGGAAATTTGTTAGAGTAATAAAATATTAAAGATAAATTACTCGATGTAGAGATTGAATCCAAAATTATCTTTTAATTTATGACTATTCAAACTAAGTTAAAAGTTAATAACTGGATCATTTAGTATGGAGATTTCAGTAAATATTATTAATCCAAATATTATTACACTATTATTATTCTACGTAAATCAAGTAAAATTTCAAATAGTGCGTGGTTCATCGTTTGGAATTGCATCTTAGCGGATTATATGCAAAATTACGCTTGAAATTTCCTAAAAATCATTAAATTATGGAAGTTTATTATAGAAAAGTTTACTAATTTTATTATTCTAAAGTCAAATTAACTTTAGAATTTTCTTTTAATTTAATTTTCTTGGATTTTTTCAAGACATTTCTTTAAAATTTTTGCAATTTTAATGACAATATTAAGTGGTTTAAAAGCTTGCAAATAGTTTCCTGTATTGTGGGAAAAATCGCAGATTTTATTAATTCTAATCACTGACGACAAGAGTGTTAACTTGGATGTAATAAAACTTGGAAAATATAATTTAGTTACTTTCTGTTGTTATAAATAGCTTAAAACTGTCGTATGAAATAATTATATTTTATATTAGATATGACAATGTTGAGTTATTTGTACAGGATGCAATATAATTCGATGTTACCTTTCACAGAGTACAACAATTTTTTGATTGAGGTGGGTTTAAAACACCTAAACATTTTGAAATTTTTTAAATAAAAAAGTTTGATCGCTCATTGAATGAAATCTCTATTAAATATTTTATAAAATGTCATTTTCTGATGCTGAATGTAACCAGTATATTGATTTAAATAATATCTTATCGCATTTATTTTATAAAATCATGTTTTTATAGGTGATGTATAAAATTTTCTGTGTATAACATGTAATGTAAATGCTTTATAAACAGTATTCTGTGGTAATAATGTTGAGGATTATTTTAAAACAAAAATTCCATGAGATTAATTGTAGTAAATGTTAACAAATCAATATTTTATAATACTGATTATAATTAACATTTCATAGAAATAGCATTTTATGAGATTAATTGTAATTAGTCTCCTAAATGCTGTTTTATGAAATATTAATTGTAAGAAAGCTTTCATAAAACAGCATTTAGGGAATTAATTATAACGTGCCACAGAAAGAGCATTTTAAGGATTAATTATAATTAATATTTCNTTAGATATGACAATGTTGAGTTATTTGTACAGGATGCAATATAATTCGATGTTACCTTTCACAGAGTACAAAAATTTTTTGATTGAGGTGGGTTTAAAACACCTAAACATTTTGAAATTTTTTAAATAAAAAAGTTTGATCGCTCATTGAATGAAATATATCATGATACAAATTTGAAAAAGAGATTCAACCAATTGCGATCGATCCATTGTTACGTATATTTCGTCTTCATCCAATCAACAGAAGGAAAATTTATGACTTTTAAAGTGTCTTATAGTTTATATAATTCCACGACTAAAAAATTTACGAATTGTACTAAAATTTAGATCAGAATTAGGGAAAAATATCATAAAATTAAGAAATATTAATTGTTTTCTTCTCTTTTTTTGTGAATTTTAAATATTTTACGAATATAATTAAAGTTTATAAGCACAGAAAGTGTTAAAAAAACAACGATACAAATCTAAACTTCAGAATAAATTAGACTTTTCTACATTATAAAAGTTATTAACAGTTAGAATTTCGACTTTAATTATCACTTCCTTTCTAAGATACACTTGGGAGAAAGAGAATGAATATATTAAAGTGTTTAAACTTCTTATCGGGGGGATCCTTAGAACTAATTTATACTTTCCTGTCAGGTAGATCTTTCTTTTTTCATTCGTTAAATGATATTCTTACTAAGAGATTATTCTGTTTCAGTAGCAAGTACAAGAAAGGAAAGACGATAAAGTAAAATAAAATAAAATAAAAATTCACAGAAAACGTTCAATAAGTAAAATTGCTTCGAATGTTAATTAAATCTGTGATTTGATTGCAGTTGAATGGAAAAAATTTTTTTTGGTGGGAGGTTGTTAAGATGAGTTTATTGTAAAATTCTTTTCTTCACATCTGTTGTTGGAATGACGTCAACTTTTATTCTTCCAAAGGGATTTATCAATAGTATTCTATCGTCGATTCTAATAAAGAAAGGTTTTTTTTTTCTTTTGTTAAACAGATTGTTCTATGCACTCTAGGAAAAACGTAAATGGATTTCTAAATAAAACATTCTGCATACATAGGCCTATATAGAATCAATTTTCTCTACAAGGCGATATTAGATATATTGCTACATATATAAATATGTCCTATATCTCATATACAGTATATTCTACAGATATAAGTTCATAGACTATAATATATTCTGTAAGCGGATATATAGGACTCCAATATATAAATTATATAATGGAGGATATTATAGGAATTGTCATGTTTGTCTCCTATATACATTTACATACACAATATTAATCTAGTTATATGCATTTAATCAATTTATCTTGTACATGTAATCAAATTTTCCTGATAAATACATATTAAAAACAAAATTGTTTATGTTTAAAGTAAAATCGTCCCGTAAATTAATTAAAAGTTGCAAAAAATCGATTAAGGAAGCAAGAAAGTGAAGCGAGAAATTGTATATATATTTTTTTATTTTTAGTATTAAAAAATAAGTGAATTTAATCTACGATAAAAACATTTAAAGAAAAAATTCTAGATGAAGCGCTAGATCACCACAGAATTTTTTTTTCTCTCGTTATTTTTCTAGAAATCAATTTGAGGAAGGAGAAGATAATCCTATCATATGAGATCTTGACAGGTGGAAACATAAATCTGAATTTTTTTACCTTGTTTAAAACTGTGTTATTTTTTTCATGTTGTTCTGTAATAAGTTTATTTTAAAGGCTCATAAAGATGGATAATTTTATTTTATCTTTTTCGGACGAAAAGTTATTCGAAATACACCAGAATGAACTTAGTTTTATGGCCGTTTTTGTCATTATAATATCGTAAAGAAGCATTGAATATATTCATAAATTTTTTAAAATTATTATTATTATTACGCTTATTTTTAATATTTTAATATAGGGATTTATATAAACTTTTCTGTTTTATGATTTATAAATGTAAAAGAAAATTAAATAAATTTTTATAATATAGGTTATAATTATTGAGAGTATTTTAAAAAAACTTTTAGCCCACCAGTGGCAGAGTGGATAAAATTACGAAACACTGGTCGTGGTTTCCCTCCTCACCAGTCACCCGGCCATGTGGAGTTTCCCGGTTTCTTCACGTGCTTAATATCTAAATAGCGGTTTCCTATAGAAAGTCGACCACGTTCCACCTTGCCTTATACAAAAAAAAAATCAAAAATTTTAAATTAAGATAATTCGAAGAATATAGACGAATTTAGTTAAAGTAAGACTTACCAATTACTGTATTATGGCGTACAAACTCCATTTTAATGAATAGGTCACGCACTCCGAGCTGTACGTAAATTCTAATTACCTTAAAATTATCCAAAAATTTACACAATTATTCAAATTAAATTGAAATATAATATATCATTCAATGGCATTCAAACCGAAGAATTTATTCTGAAAAATGTCTTTGAATTTCTTTTTTGTTTCTCCCATCTTTATGTTAAACAAGGAAAAAAAATAAGCGTAATTAAACATTAATTAAAATTACATATTCCGCTTCTATCGAAATTGCTTTTATACATTTTTAAACATTAATTAATACAGAAAGCAGAAAGTAGCACGAATTTTATACAGCGAATTTTTTTATATATATATCTTTAAATTTAAGAAAAATATCAAATATTTACTTTAAATTTCAATAAACTTTATTTATTTATTTAGTTTGTATGAAGAATATTCCCAGCAGATCTATACTGATGTGATATAAAAACAATGGTGACTCGTTCACAGCCCTCCCAGAAATTTTGACAAAGATAAAACTAAATACCCTAAATTAAATTATTTATTAAGATATACGCATATTCCTTAATAGAATAAAGAATAAATAAATTTAAACTGAAATATTCGCAACGGGTTCTCAGCGTTATACAAAAAGCCAGGAGTTAGACCTTTCTAATTATGTAGCTTATTTTACTTGTTGTATTTTGCTTTATTGTACTTTATTCGCTATGTTTGATGTATTTTAATCGGGTTTTACTATTAATTAGGGGAGGAAATCTATTTTCACAAGATTATTCCTATTGTAATTGAATAAAAAATATATGCAATACCATGTTTTCATGCAGATTATCCGTGTTTGAGAGACGCTTCGTAAGAGAGTATAAGTTATGTTATGGAGCATGTTGTAAGCATGAAAAAAAACGCTAATTTAATCACAGTCAGTTTTCTTATACGTTTCACTATAGTCTTAAGAAAGTCCCATTATACATCCTGTAGTATTTACAGTTTTTAATAGATCCATACTCGATTTAATGAAAAAATGAGATATTTTATACAGTTTTCTAATTACTTAACTTTCAAATATAATCTTCTGTATAAGTACAGGTTGGCCATTATTACAGTTTGCCTATTCTGTAGCCAGTGAGCGGATTGACATTAAAATTTGTATACAGTACAGACTATGAGAAAGATGCGAAAAAGGATTTTCGAAAATAAAATTTAGTTCAAAAACTTTTTCTAGGAGAAATTTTACAGGAAGATATACGCAATAAAACAACAAAACACATTGAAAACGCATTTATTCGCTCCTCAAGGGAATGCTTTCTGCAGAAACTGTTTACTAATGTTGTTGATGTTTAAGATATGTGCCCTATTTTTTAAATGTAAAATTTGAAGGCAATGAACAGTATACAGCTGACCGTAACTGTTCTCCAGTGATGCTTCGCACGTGCAGTGCAATACGATCCTCTAGGTCTTCCAGAATTGCAACATTTCTATGATAAGTCATATTCCAAACCACATACAGTATGTCAAAGCACCCTCTAGCGGAAGTTTTTTAAACTAATTTTTTGCAACATTCCTTTCTACGTCCTTTGCATAGTTCGTATACAAATTTTGGTGTAAATCCGCTTATCGAATACAGCTACACAGTGCTCTGAATAGAGAAACTTTTAATTACGGCCAGCCTGTAAACGGTGTGCAGTTTGTGCCCTAAACTGCTTTTATAAATAATTTACTCAGTAACATATGATATAAAAGGATATATTTTACTTGAAATATATCATATACATTAATGATAAAGTAATTAAAATCAGAAAAAAGCAAAGAAAGAAAAATTTTTTAAAATACTGTTTACAATTTTCAAGAACTTTTGTATATTTTGGATCTACAAATTGGATCTACTTCTTGTAAAGCTGATTTTCTTAAAGTATAATAATCTAAGAAAATCAGCTTTGCAAGAAGTAGATCCAATTTATAGAGCAGATCTATCGATGAAGGACTTGATCGTTGGATCATAATCCAAGAAAATCAGCTTTATAAGAAAAATAAAAATTTAAGATTTCCATAATCAATTGCCTTCTTGAAAGAAACACGGTGATCTTTCAAGAAGTGAAACAATATAAACAGGGTTTGTGAGAAGTAAATAAGGTCGAGCCAGTCAAAAATATTTTTTTTACATAGAAAACCCATAAATTTATTCGTGTATGCTATTGTCCATTCTTGTATATGCATATAAAAATGGGTATTTTCAAGTAATTAAACAGTAAATAAAAACTTAATTTAGAAATAGGAAAATATAAAAATTTTCATACAATTTCTCAATTTTTCGAAAAATAGCAGTACAATTTCCGTAAGACCTGCAAAGCAGTAAGTGAAAATACAATTTCAATTTTAATAATATAGTAGCATTTTAGATGAAAAGAAAACAAAAGATAGACTCGAATGTTTGATAGAAAAATTGGAAAAAACTTATCGATTTAAGCTTTTCATTTTATTATATTATTGGAAAGAAAGTGAATTCATCTTATAACCACGACTTAATCCCGGAATAAACCATGTACATGAAAATGCCAAGTATTTTTGAGACGATAAGTTACATGTAAGATATGTTGTACGATGTCTATGAAAATTTTTTAAAATACCACTGTTTAATTTAAATTTTCTACATTTGTACTTGAATTTAGATATTTTTATTTAGCGAATGAGAGACATATCAGAGAATTGTAGTCGTAACGTCAATCTGAAATTGATCTTTAGTTTTACTTTTCTGCTATTACATATAACAGCCGAAAAAGTATGGCGATCGGTTAAAACAATGACCTCCCCCCAAGATTTTTACATTTTTGAACTCGTGAAGCTTTGAAACGTCGATAAATGTAAAAAGTAGAAGATTTTGTGGATTTTTTTTCTTTATGTATGGATATTAGTGCGTGCATGTGTCCATGGGTATGGGTGATTGGCACGGTTTTGTTCACTCGTTTTAAAGTTTAATAATTCCTGTGCCCTTTGTCAAAAATTTCTAAAATTCTGCAGAAAGGTTTGTGTATCAGGGGTATTGACGCTATCAAATTTTGGTGGTTACAAGCCAAGGTGGTCATATATCGAGTGGAGTCGAACTTAAATATTTTACTCGTTATTAGCATTTACAACTTTTTTTATATAATAAAACTCATCTCTAACCTCAAAACGAAGTGTTTTTTCACTTTATAATAATTAATTATATAAACAGTTTTTTTAATAAAATCTCATAACAGATGACGCCACATACGATTTTAACATTTTTTCCGGGAAAGTTACGCAATTCATTGATGCATATTTTATGTATAAATTTATATACTTGAATGATTTGTAGTATTTGTATGGTTTATATATTGGAAATAATTATAATATATCGGTGAAGTACCTTATTTTATGTTCTTTTAAACTCAGATATCGAAAAATGGTTTCTTAATTACTTCAACAGCAAATTCGATTTTGTAAAGTTGCATATTCCAGGATTGATCTCTGTGTTCAGAAGATAAACCTATTCCTTTTCTAGCAAAATTCTTGTTTTGCAATGATAAATTGAAATAATTTAGAATAATCCTCTAATTAGGAGATGAATCACTTCTTTTTTAAAGCAATATTATAATAATTGCATAAGATAAATCTCTCGTTTTAAACAAAATTATATTTGCTATCTATACGATTAATCCTAGAATATGCCATTATATTATCGAGTATGTTCTTGTAAACGATAAAGATAGATTAACATAAGATGTAGACGTGGTGAAAGGCCTGATTTACACACAGATAAGGCAAGAGATAGCTTAAGGCCTCACGCTACTAGGCTACAACTTAATGAATTAAAAAGTGAGAGGCTTTCTTATTTAATGGGTGATAAGAGCCTCTTATAGAGTCTCACGTTTGCATAATATATTTTATGTGTTATTTACTTTTAAAAAATGTTTATTTAAAACAGAATTTTCTAAAAAAAAATTCTAAGAATTATGACATCATTTTCTGAATATTAAGTGATTTTTTCAATGTTTTTTTTGTTTTAGAAAATTACGTGCTCACTTAAACTTCTTCAAATTTTCCATTTAAAAAATCGAAATAATGTTATGAAATCTTCTTAATTTATAATTCAGATTAAGCTTCAGAATATTTGATGAGGATAAATAACTCTGATAGCTTTATTTATTAAAATATTCTTCTTACTCCATACGATTCATTAAACCCATTTATTAAAAATCCGGATTAAAAGTGTAAATAAATTTTCATTAAACTTGAAATTTAATATTTTAGTCATTTAAAAAATACAATTTTTATCAATTAAAAATTGAATTTTCTTCAAAATGTTAAGTTAATTTCTTTTCTTTTTACTTTGGGTGGCCCAAAATTCAGTCAACCGGCTAAATACAGAATCACTGGAATAACAAATAATAAAGTAGTCTATTTGAATAAGCAATTTAGTCTCGGTTAACTATCTTTTGGGCCATCCTAAGTAAAAAGAAAGTAAATTAACTTAAAATTTTGAAGACAATTCAATTTTAATTAATAAAAATCAGCAAAATTTCTTGGTTTCTCCTCTCTATTTAAGAAAAATTAATAACTAAAATCAAAATTCTAAGACTCTGAACAAATTATTAACTTTATCGATTTTTAATAAATCTTTATTAAATTATAAATTATATTAAATTATAAATCATATAATTTTATATACAAATGAATTTAAATTTATAATTAAAGAAATAAATCAAGAAACAAAACCGAGCGATATGTTATATGTTTATCAATTTTAGTCCAGTTATTTTTAAGTCATGTGTTTGTCATTTTGTCTGTCAGGCCTGTCTTTTTCTACACAGAGTTTATTTTAAAATTCGTTGTTTTATATTGTTAAATTTTCAGAACATGCTTTCAAATAAAATTATAATTTATAATTAAAGTTGAATTACCTTAAATTCTCTTTAAAATTCAAAACTTTTTGAAAAGTGTAGAGTTATTTTTTGAATTTTCTAGAAATAAATAAATTTTTTAAATTTTATATCTAGACTTTATATAGATAAAATCTGTGTCATATATTAAACACAAATCATTATTCTGCAATGAAAAATGGCAGTCTTTTCAATTAAATTTATTGAAAAGATTTATCACTTTTTAAGTAA